CGTATATTATCAATTCATCAGTCACTACATTGCCTTTCTCTTTTTTTCTTCCTTCTTTTAGAATAGTTAATTAATTTTCCAATATAATTTGATTCTGTATATCATTGTTTTGTTATAATATTAAGAGACTGACGAATAAATCCATTGGCACATGCATAAGTATCTCAATCTCCATCAAATCTTGGAGCCATATAATTAGTGAATCAAATTGGTCTGATTTGTTGCAAGTCCCCAGCTAAGCTTCTCACCAGCTTTTGGAGATATGCTTATTGTTTACACCATAATCAACCAAGCATATCCAGTTTCAAAGCGACTAGCACCAGAGGCAGACACGTCTTCTCCCCTACCGAAGGAAGACACTCTTCCGAGGTGCCAAGCACCTGCCGAAACTTCCGACTGCTGAAGATCCCAATTGCTAAACTTAATCTCCATGACACGTGTCACCACCGCATCGACTTGCACAAAGTCCCACATCGAAAATCTATACAAACCTCCCACTTTCACTTCTCTGTAAATAAGGAACAGTACTCTAGTAAAAAGGGTAACTACTTTCTTACCTTTTATTATTACTCTGCTAAAGTTACCCCTCTTAGCTGACTTAAGCATTGGAGAGCCTTCGGCCGGCACCACACCAGTGTCCGAAGCTTAACGACTGCTTCTCCTATTTTGTCTTCTGCAGGCTAGCCTTTATTGAAGGTCTAGACCCTTTCTCTGCTGAAGGCAAATCTCCTTTTCTCTAAGTTGACCCTCTCCGAAAAAAAGAATCAACAGTTTGGCGCCGTCTGTGGGAATCAATACTTGAAACCCATTTCTCTCTACCAGCCCAACTGGCTCCTTCTCCTATCCGGCCCCGTCGCCTATTCTTCACTCCACACTCAGCTATGCCTACTGAGGATAGCCACAGGACTCAGCACCATACCCCCTATGGGGGTACTTCCCAGAGGAGACCTTTAACAGATGCCAATCTCCAGGCAAAACTGGAGAGCCTCTGCGCCAGTGTCACCAAGATGTCCGAGAAATATGACCATCTTCATGCTAAGAACGTCGAGCTCGAGTATGACTACCACACACTGAAGCGTAACTGGGAGATGAATCAGGCCCAGGGCTCCCAACGTAGCCTTACCCGGGAACCTGAGCGTACCCAGCCAAACCAACCGGAGCACTCCCACCATAGTGTCCCAATCCAGCCTAAGCCCAGTAAGGGTAAAGCCCCCCTCCATTCGGAGACGACCAAGTCGCAGCTCCTCTGCATCTCCCAACCGAGGAATCGGCCCCATGAACCAACAAAAGTCTACAGGGATTGCAGGGACTGTATCCTATACCGTCAAATGAAACCCCCTCTTATCCCCATTAATCTCCAAGACCCAAAGGTGACACACCTAGGCCTCACGCCAAAGCCTACCCAACTACCCATTGGAGAAGGTATAGGGGACTCGGAGAACTGGGGGCAAGATTACTTAGAAGACTACGAGTCTTATCACACCGAGACGTTCGAAGAACTTTATCCAGCCCATGGCCACCTACACACCAGACCTCCAGCACCCGAGACTCTCCCTCATACCGACTCGATAATGAGGCTTCTCTTTGAGAAAGTCCGGCGCCTGGAGAGCGAGCAGGGACGCAACCACCAACTCCTTTGGGCAAAGCCATGACCTGGGCCATTTACCGAACGCATCCTTAATTACCACCAGGAGAATGACATACAGCCACTCTGCATCGCCTTCTACACTGGCACGAAGGATCCTCTCACCCACATACATTCTTTCCAGTCTGCCCTGGGGTGTAAAGGCCTCACTGACGAAGGCATGTGCCTCCTCTTCCCTTCCACTCTTAGTGGCGCGGCCCTGAATTGGTTCTACAGGCTGAACCCCTGCACCATCAACACATTTGACAGTCTGAAACAGGCCTTCCTGGATCATTTCATGATCCAGACTGATCGCCTCTATTCCGTGGACGACCTGTATGAAACGACCCGACCCAAATTCTACTTTCAAATCCAGGCTGAATCCTGTTTATAACTGACACCTGGTGGTTGTGGGTCACAAATGACCAAAATGCCCTGAAAACAAAAACTCAAATACTTTAACTCATGACAGCGCCTAATAACTGTAGGCTGCCTACGTACCCTTACTGAAGGATCACGTCACACGTAGTTCTTTCCTCTGTTCCTGATCTGCAACTGGTTTACTTACTGTAAAACTCGCTCTAGGGCTGACATTCCTAGAGTAACCGGAACTCCGTTTTACGATCCGTCAAATACTATACGATCTTGGAATTACCTAGATCAACATACTTGAAATTGACTGCGATCCAATGGTTCAGACGTATCGAACCCGAAAATCACACACTAGTCGAAATCCGTTCAGGGTTCAAACCTGCGAAATCATACTTGCTTGTGAGAACTGGGAGATTATTGTAGGACTAACTGTGGTCCCCACCTTGCTGCCCACGCGCCGCCACACGGGCCAGCAGCGCGTGGTGCCTAAAACGATAACGCTTCGTCGGAAAAACTCCGAATCACGGCTCAGGGTTTCTACCCTAGGTATAACACCCTATTTGAAGCCACTTTTGTTCTTGGCCTTACCCCAAAAACTGACCGGAAGTGGCCAGAATCGCACTCTCAAAACTGGCTGAAACCTAACTTAACAATCGAAGTATTTACACTTGGAATTTCTGAAATCCTACCCAACCAGCAACTAGAGCATGGAAAATAGCTAGAAAACCATACCTCACTCGTCTGATTTGGTGGCTGGAGGTGTTCGAACGAGCTCCGTGACATTTTATCAAAAACTGTCCAAACCGCCCTGTTTCGTGGCGATTTTCGGCGACCACGACGGCGAATCGAGGATGGGATGGGTTGAGACTGAAATAGGGGAGTAAGGTGGTTCATTTGGCACTGGTCTAGCTCGATTTGGTGGTCGGGGCTGAGAGATATCACCTTTGGAAGTCAGCTGGTTGAGCTTCCAACATAGGAGAATTCTGGGTTTTTAAAAACTGAACTTCGAAATATTTACGGTTATGCTACTGAACTTCTTTTGATCGTAACTCCTTCGTTACAACTTCGATTCGAGTTCACTACGTGTCTACAGACTTGTTTCGTCGCGCTCTACGCAACGGTATAACTGAAACCCCCAAATTCCTTCCCGGTCAAAAAGTCAACTTTTAAACCACTAAAATATTCTAGGGCTATAATGGTCTTTTATTGGAATAAATTAATAATTAAATATTAATTAAGGACTGGGTTGTTAGGGTGAGGACGAGCCCTTTCGGGAGTATGCAACCAAGTTCAGCCATGAATACTCCCGCTGCCCGGAGACTGATGACTGCGCTACCTTTAGTGCTTTCAAGATTGGCCTCCGAGAGCCCAACTTACGCTACCTGGTCCACAGCAACCCCTGGAACACATATGCTGAACTAGTGAAGCATGCAGCAGTTCATGCCAAGGCTGAGTACTTCAACTCCAAGCGTAGCCCAGCCACCCCCACGTGTAATCCTTTTGCTGATCCTCCACCTGCTTCAGTACCCATCCCAGCTCCACCTCAACATTCTGCCCCCACACCAAGCACCCACGGTGCCCAGCACCCCAAGAGGAAGGATAGCTATCAGCATACCTTCAGCAATAACAAGCGGAGCAGACATAGCAACCACCACCAGTCTAGTGAAAGCAACCCCCTAGGACAAATGACCGGGCCTCACTCCCATTCTCACCCAAACCCAGGTTCGAGGTCTTCACCACCTTAAACATTACCTATGAGAATGTCCTCGTGCACGAGACACCTATCGTACTCCAGCCTCTACCCCGGAAACCAGGCCGCAAGCCTATGCCTGACATATGTGTCTTCTATCGCTTTCATCAGTTCGGTGGTCACGATACCAAATCTTGTGTTGCCTTGCGCAACATCATTGAATGACTTATTCGTGAGGGGAAGCTGGATAAATACGTGCGCAACCTCCCTCCCCCACCTAACCCTCACCAACGGCAGATTAACATGATCTCAACCATCAGTGGAGGCCCTACCATAGCTGGAACCTCCAGCAACTCCATCAAACATTATGTCCACTCTACCTATGCACATCAGGTCTTCAGTACTGAGCAGGGACGCCTGCCGAAGAAACAAAAAATAGGCTGGGCCCCCATTACCTTCTGCGAGGAGGAGGAGCGTGGCGTTATTCTCTCTCATGATGACTCAATCATTATCCACGCCGACATCTTTAATTTAGACGTTGGGCGCATCTTGGTAGACACTGGCAGCTCAGTCAATGTGATGTTTGCTAATGCATTCAACGAGCTCTAGGTCCCGTCTCATTTGCTCGATCGAAGCGTTACATCTCCTGGTGAGCTTTTCGGGCGATGTGGTCCAGCCTACTGGGAGCATTCATCTTCCTATCTTTATTGGAGCAGCACCCCAGTGGACGACGATCACCACTCTTTTCCTCATTATTGATTGCCCCACAGCCTACAATGTCATTCTTGGGCGCCCTGTCATGGCCCAAATGAAGGTTTTCATTTCCACACATATGTTATTGTTGAAATTTCCTACACCCCATGGCACGGGCACGGGCACAGTGCGCGGAGACCAACTTGGAGCCCGAAGCTATTATGCTTCGGCAATAAAGTCTACCAATCCCCAACATCGGGATGAGGCCCTAGCGGTAACCCGGGCCCCAGCCCCACCTCGAGCTGGCACTGAGTGCCCAGAAGACCCTAGGGAGGAATCTGTTACCCAACATGCCGAACCTATGGAGGACCTCAAACTGGTCACTCTCCATGAGGACATCCCGAATCCCCAACCTCAGCTGGCCATGCCCTCCTCAGCTTCATGGACGCTTACTCAGGATACAACCAGATCTTCATGCACCCTAAGGACCAAGCTCATACATCCTTCATCACTGACCGTGGCCTTTACTGCTAGAAAGTTATGCCCTTCGGCCTCAAGAATGTCGGGGCTACGTATCAGCGTCTGGTGAACAACATCTTCGCTCCACTGATTGGTAACACCATGGAGGTTTATGTTGATGACATGCTCGTCAAGAGTCACACTGCTAACCAGCACATCCCCAACCTCTCTGCCATGTTCGCAATTTTGAAGCAGTATCGGATGAGGCTTAATCCCACCAAGTGTGCATTTGGGGTGGCTTCCGGCAAATTCCTTGGCTTCATGATCAGCCAAAGGGGTATTGAGGCCAACCCGGAAAAGATCCAGACCATTTTAGACATGATGATACCCAAGACAGTCAAGGACATTCAGAGCTTTACCGGGCGTGTCGCGGCCCTTACCAGATTTATCTATAAGGCCACTGATCGGCGCCCCATTCTTCAAGGCACTTAGGGGTAGCAAACGCAGCATTACCTGGAATGCCGTATGTGACCAGGCCTTCGGTGAGCTCAAGGCATACATGAGCCAAGCCCCTTTATTGTCAACCCCTAAGTCTAGAGACGTCCTCACCATCTATCTCTCTGTTTCGGCCACAGCGGTTAGCTCAATGCTCATTTGACCACACGAAGGTGCTGAGCATCCGATGCACTATGTGAGCAAAGGATTGCAAGATGCGGAGGCTCGGTACCCAGACATTGAGAAACTTGCTTTCGCACTGGTAGTCTCGGCTAGACGTCTCCGACCATACTTTCAAGCTCACACCATCCATGTCTTAACCAAACAGCCGCTCAGACAAGTGTTGTAAAAGCCAGAGACTTCTGAGAGATTGGTTAAGTGGGTCATTGAACTTGGTGAATTTGATATCCACTACAAACCCCGCCCAGCTACAAAGGGCCAAGCGGTTGCTGACTTCATATCACAATTCACAGATCCCCAAGCTTCGACCTCTACCCAGGTCATAACCGAACCCAGTGTTCCCCCGAGCCAGCTCCACGTCACCAATAATGACAACCTCGACCTGACCTAGCCCTTGTGGACCTTATATGTGGATGGCTCCTCCAATGCCTAAGGATGTGGAGCCGGCCTCGTTCTCATCTCCCCAGACAAAGTTGTCCTTGAGTACGCCCTCCACTTCAAATTCCACGCCTCCAACAATGAGGCCGAATACGAAGCACTCTTAGCTGGCCTTCGACTAGCAAAAGAGATGGGCGCCAAGCAAGTTCAGATATTCATCGACTCACAGCTTGTTGTCCATCAAGTCAACCAGGACTTCACGGCTAAGGACATCTCCATGACAATGTACCTCCAACATACCCGACACTTGCTTGAAACTTTCGACACTCATCTTATGAGCCAGGTGCCACGCTCTGAGAATAGCCATGTTGATGCATTAGCAAGGCTAGCCTCGGAATTAGAGCAGGGCATATGTCGTAATATCCACATCGAGTTCTTGGACCAGCCCAGCACACGGGCACCACTCATCTGTGTCATCGATCACAGCCTTACATGGATGAACCCCATCACTTAGTTTTTGGAGAACCAGACACTACCTGCTGATCATGTTGAAGTGCGGCATGTTCGCTATCGTTCCGCTCGATATTTGATCATTAATGGCGCCCTATACAAGTGCGGCTTTAGCCTCCCCTACCTTCGGTGCCTGACCCCAGAGGAAGGTACCTACGTCCTAAAGGAGATTCATGAGGGTATCTGCAGCAACCACTTAGGCGCTCGCTCCCTAGCACACAAGGTCATTCGGCAGGGATACTTTTGGCCATCACTTCATACTGATGCCCAGGCCTTCACCCAGAAGTGCGATAAGTGTCAGCGATTTGCCAACATCCCACAACTTCCAGCTCAGCCATTGACAGCCATGGTCAGTCCTTGGCCATTCGCCCAATGAGAACTTGACCTCATTGGACCTATGCCTGAGGGCAAGGGCCAAGTCAAGTATGCAGTTGTAGCTGTGGACTACTTCACCAAGTGGGCTGAGGCCGAAGCCTTGGCCACCATCACTACAGCCCGCACTGAAACTTTTGTGTGGCAAAATATCGTATGTCGCTTTAGCATCCCTAACACCATCGTCACCGACAATGGCCGACAATTTGACAATGCCAAGTTCAAACAATTTTGTTCCAACCTCAAGATACGTCTTTGCTTCGGCTCCCCAGTCCATCCTCACTCTAATGGCCAGGTAGAAGCCGTGAACAAGATCATCAAGAAAACTCTAAAAACCAAGCTTGACAAAGCTAAGGGTTGCTGGCCAGAGCTACTCCCAGAGGTTCTATGGTCCTACCGCACCACCTTCCGTACCACAACAGGAGAAACACCGTTCTCTCTTTCCTTTGGTACTGAAGCCGTGGCACTAGTGGAAATTGGCTAACCCACATACCGAACCTCCACTTATGAGGCCGAAGCCAATGACGAGTAGCTAGCCCTGAACCTTGACTTCATTGACAAGCTTCGTGACCAATCCAACATGCGCAATGTCACGTACAAACAGTGCATCGCTAGGTACTATGACTCCCGAGTCAAGCCCTGTGTTTTCAAACTTGGGGACTGGGTCATGCATAAGGTTTCCTTGGCCACCAAGAATCCCACTGAAGATACCTTAGGCCCTACATGGGAAGGCCCCTATGGGGTTACCAAAGCCTGCCAACCCGACGCATATCATCTTCGCAATCCCAAGGGCAAAACCTTGCCACATCCTTGGAATACTGCTCATCTCAAATACTTCTATGAGTAAACATACATAGACCCTAGAACATTATGTTTTTTCTTATACTTTGCTTTTGAGCCATGACTCTGTACCTTCTGCCCTTCGGCACCTACTTAATAAAACGCTTGACTCTGGCTACTTCTTATCAATCACATAATTATCATTTTGCTAGCACAATTGATATCAAATGACAACAAGTCTAATATCATAGCAAATGAAATTAACCTTGCCCCGGGCAAAGCAATATGTTCATACATAACATAAATAAACATCAAGTGTTTTACATAAACAACTGCAGTACATAAAGAAGGCAACGCCTTCAAGACTCGGTGAAAGGGGCATCCGTAGTGGCTGACTCTGGCTCTGGCTCTAGCTCTGGCTCTAGAGCGGCATCAGTGCTAAGACTAGGTGAAGGAGGCTCACCACTCGTGTCAAAGTTAATCTCCACCGAAGGGTTGAACCTCGCCACCCTCTCTTCCCAACGCAGCTGCATCGCCACCATCTGATCCATGATGTAACTCCTCAGCTCCTCTAAACCCCGAAACGACTCTATCACTTCAGCTCGGGCAGCAGCTACCTCTTCAGCCCTCGACCACTTCAGCTCTTCTATCTCCTTGACCATCGCTACTTTTTGCAGCACCAGGGTGTTCTTCTCTTGGATGGCTTCAGGCGCCTCCGCTATCTTGTCCTTGGCCATCTCATTGCGCCTCTTCAACCTCTGGATCTCATTATCTGCCTTGGCCATATTCACGTACATCTCACCATAGGCCTACAATACAAAGCATAAGTAGTCAAAGGCAAACTAGAATGATATGAACAAATTCATAAGGCAGAACAACTTACGTAGGCCTGGGTAAGGAGCGTCTTCTGGGCTCGATCTGCATAGGAAGTGGCCGGGGTCCTCGCCAGAACCTCAGGGTCACTCTTGACGCCTTCCAGGAAGACGTTCACCAAAGGAACCTCTTGTCGATGCATGGCCAAGTTCACCTCCTTCTTATGTCGACGCAGCCTAAAGAAGTCCATCTTCTCCACCTCCTCGGCATAAATGTCCTCCATATCGAAGGGGAGCTTCGGCAGCGCCTGCGGGTCAAAGGGAGGAAGCCTCGGCCCTGTCCCCATCACACTCCGGTGAGCTTCCTCCAGCGCTCTGTTCTTTCCCAGCGCATCGGCAACCAGGCCTTCATGATCTCTAGGCCGCTTACATGTCACCTGCTGAGCACCTCCCTTCTCCACCTTCTTGGCCCGAGACTCCCTCAGCTGTTTTTGCATCTCGGGATCAACCAGATCCATAGCCACCTTCGTGCTGCCCCTTATGATACCTGCCACTTCACATCAAAAGCTAAGTTAATCCCAATTGCAAAAAGAATCATAAGACAAACAACAACAATGACCCAGGTACTTACTCCCTTGCAAGAGTCCGGACTCGCACAGGTTCTTCTGGGTGACTAGATTTTTGCACTCACGCTGGGTCTCTGACAACAGTGACCTCACCCTCTCAACCTCGTTTTCCCGCTCCTTGGAGATCGGTCCTCACTTCACCGAACCTGCACCAAAGGTTAGATACAACTCAGTCATTTATGCTTGCACACGCAAAAATGAAGACCCAAGAGTCAAAGCACATATAAAAACACTACAAAACAACCAGTCTTAAGGGATGGGGCTAAGGACCTATAGACTGAAAATGGGTAGGAATGTGTCTGGAGACGATCTTCCCTGGAGGACACTCCCAATCACCATAGGTCGAGCACCATCTGTTCCTCCAAGACTTCTGAGTACTGGGCTTATGCCCAATAAAGTAACCCCTCTCTTTTGCCTTCTGGCAATTGGCTTGTACCCAGCCAAAGGTTCCCTGTTGCTTGGAGATTGAATACAAGTACATAAACTGCTCAAATGTTGGCTCGCCCAACCCAATCAATCACCAAGCAATATAAACTCCATGCAGAAGCAGCCAGAAGTTGGGATTGTATTGCCTCGGCGCATACCCCAACTTGGCCAACATCATCTATACCCAAGGATGAAACGGTAGTCTGAGGCCATGCTGGTACATATCCATGAAAATCATAACTGAACCCTCCAGAGGATATCTCACTACATCCGCAGCACTGGGTAACCTTAGGCCCACATAGGGGGGCATCCTATAATCTATCCGAAGCTCAGTCAACTTTACTTCTGTAAGTGTATTCTGCTTTGCCAAAGGGACACCAACCCGGATGTCCATCCCCTCTGAAGCTGAAGCCACGACTATACCCACAAACCCTGATGGTGATGTCTAATTGCTCAAGCCCACCTCCGGTGTATGTGCCAAGGCTAGAACCCGATCAACACTGGCCTCTAACACTTTATACTTCTTCTGCATCTCCCTATATGCCTCTGACCCAGACTCTACTGATGGCCCAGCCATCTCACCCTCATGAACTACCATCCTAGCTTCTATAAGCCCTTCTACCAAACCCTCTGTCTAGCAACTCTCATCTTCAGAACAAACATACTCACTGGCCTCTTCACTCTCAATAGCATCCCCACCAAAGGCAGGGGGTCAAGACTTTCTTTATCAGAACTTTCAGACATCTACAACATGTAGAAACAAGAAAAGGAACTAATGCACATGCAAGGAGGATCCAAACACAAGAACACAAAATTGGATGGCATCTACATGCTTTTTGATCTAGATGCATAAATTCAACAAGTTCATCTCAAAGTTCAGGATGTTCAACATGTTCATACCCATGCTCAAGGTGTTCATCCTAATCTTCAACATGTTCATACCAAAAGTTGAATTTCAATTCAAAAATTCAAGGGAAATGAGGTCTAACCTTGTTTGCACCATCACGGAAAGTCGCCGGAAATCACCTTGGCCCTAGCACTACAATAAGGTATTCGCCAAGAATCTCTTTTCTCCTTCTCACTTTCTGGAAATCTTTCTCTCAAAATTCTCCAAGTGTGATGCCTATGTCACTCCAAGTTCCTATTTATAAAGTCCCAAGGGTACACAAAAACCCTAGCACCCTTTCAGTTTCCTTCTCAACTCCTTGTACCTACCCACAATTGGAAATTCAAATTCCAAGTTATTCAAATTTCAGACTTTCAAAAAAAAAAACAAAAAAACAATCGGAAAAAGGGAATTAAGAGACCTTGCCGAACTGCAAGGCCAATGCAAAGGAAATAGGGAAACAAAATTCTCACCTTGCTCGGTCCACTAAGGCAGAAGCACCAGGGGTATTGACAGCCCAGCAACCTCCCTTTGAGATTGGGCCTAGCTTCTCTTCAAACACAGCAAGCTTCCAGGTCTGCAAATCTTGAAAGCTCAGCCAATTGGCCAACGACTACAGCTCTAATCCACCCTTGCTCCAACTCATCGGCCCAACTCCAAATGACTGATGGACCAGCCCGTGCGCAAGGCCCCACAAAACACTTGCCCAGACCTTTCGAGTCACCAAATTCAGACCTAGCTCCAGCCTTGCCGAAGGTTTAAACAACCACAAAGAAAAAAAACACAAAACAACAAAAACCAAAGTGAACACCAAACTTCCCTTATTTGATCAAGGCACCCATCACACCACAATCTTAGTCACAATGAGACCCTGCCGAACGGCAGGTTTCATGGAGAAAGAAAGAGGGGGACTTACCAAGTATGTCACCCAATCCGCCCAGCTCCAATCCCCGAGAACAAGACCCGCCCAGTCACGAATTCTAACCTGAGGCAGTAAGAGTAGAGCCCTTGCCGAATCTCTAATGGCCCAGCTCGTGCACACTAGCCTCAACAAAATCAACAATTCACAATGGCCTAGGCTCCAACTCGTGCCCAACCTCCT